GTGGCGGCAGAGGCGGCAGAGAAAAGGCTGTCACTGTCCTTTCTTCCTTTTGGTACAAGCGTCTCCCTGAGCCGACGATTCTCCCGCAGTGACACCTCTCACGGGCACTAATGAGATCCATGTCACAGAGCTAATGCGTTCTGACTGGACTCTTGATAGACACCCCACTCCTTCAGGGGAGACCACAGGCCAGCCCACTGCCCCCCTGGGGGCCAGGCCCCCACCCTGCCACCTTCCAGCCCAGCTCTCTTGCCAAACAGTTCTGGGTAGCAAGCTCTTGAGAGTCCACTTGGTTTCTGGCCATGCCACCTGTACCACAAGCCTCACTGGGATCCTTCTCCATCCCAGAGCAGAGGGGCCAAGCTCCTAGGCAGGACCACCCAGCCAGGCATCAGGGAAGGTTCCAGTTACTCTCCTAGCCAGTTGAAACCAGCAGTAGTCTGTGGGGCCTCCAAGTTACAACAGCAGGTGAGATTTTACTGACATTTCCTGTGCAGATTTCCAAAAAAGAAGGGAAGGAGGCCCAGGCCCTGCCCTTAGAGAACCCAAGTACGTAGGGCCAGATCATTACCTCTGACAAATTATAATAGGGCCCAAGTGTGTGTTTTGAACACTCATACTGGGAGGGCCAGGCAAGATTCCCAGAGGAGGTGGCCCCTGGAAGATTAGCAGAATTTTCCTGGGCCATGAGGTAGAGAGAGAACTGAAATCACAAAGAACCGTCAGGGCCAGAAGGAGGTCAGATGCCAACAGTTGCAGGTCCCTGGCTCAGGGTGACTGTAGCAGCAGAGAGGGAGTGGTGATGCTGCCTTTGCTTTCTTCCTCAGCTGCTGCTACTAAAGCTCTGCTCAGGCCTGCATGTTTCACTTGACACTGAGGGAAATGAGGGAAGCGAGCTTGTTTTCTTCCACATCGTCTCCATTGGTAGCGCATAGCCCAATACCAAAAGGGTGCTTCATAGTTCCACAGTGATAACACAGGCTCTGCACTCAGATGGGCTTGGGTTTGAATCCTGGCTCCTCAATCAACTGGCTGTGTGACCTTAGGCAGTTCACTTCACTGAGCCTCAGTTTCTTCATCTACAAAATGGGAATGATGATGCCTGCCTTCATAAGACTGTTGTGAAAACTGAATTAGTTAATAGAAAGTGCTTCCAACAAATGTGAGTGCTTACTGCCCCTTTGCTGAAATGAATGAAGGACCACTCAGCAGTCCCCTGTGGAGGCTGCCCTCCCTCAGAGCCTGTGGTCCAAACCAAGGATGCTGACAGAGACCATCGGCAGCCCTGGAGTCGGCAGTTCTAGATGCATGCAGGCCCTACTCACCACAACCTGCTCTGGCACCAGGCTGTTCACCAGGCTCCCAAGGCAAAATCTGCTACGGCAGGAGGAAGTGCCCTCCCCTGACCATGACGTCATGCTGACAAGCCTCCAGCAGCCTTTCTGCCCAGTGCTGCACCACCTCCGGACCCTCCTTGGCCATCCCTAAACCCAACTTCACCTTCAGTCCCCAGGGCCAAGCCCACAACTCCACTTGTGAGCTCTGTGGGGGCAGAGCACTGTGTCTGCCATTGTTACCAATACATTTCTAGCACCTACCATGGTTCCTGATGTATGGTAGGTCCAAGATAGTGTGTACGGAATGAAAGAAAGTTTTACCTGGTGTCCTACCTCTATTTCCAGGGCCGATGCACTCTTGCTTACCTTGCTGCCCCTCCCCTTCAGCCTCCCTATCTGCAGTCTCTCCTCACTAGTCCTTCCCCTACAAACTATGAGCATCCTCTGACTGAAGCCAACACTGACCATGTAACTCCCCTGGCCAAAACACTCCTACAGCATGCACAACCATCCTAGTAGCCCTCTCCCCTATGGCCTGAGCGCCTTCCCCACACCCATCACCCCAAGCCTGCCTCTGTGCTCTCTCAGCACCTTCACACCACCCATGCCACACTCCTGTGGCACTGCAGGAGGACTGAGCAGACCCTGGACATGGCTCAGCTGTGGGATCCACAGCACCCTTGCCTGGCAGCCACCCAATGCTGCCTCACCCCCCACCAGCCAATACACATACCACTCCCCATTCCAAGCTGGCAGCTCCTCACACAGTTAATTAGCACCATGTCACTAAGGACCAGCCTGAGTGGCCAGTGACAGGAGCTGACCTCTGACCCCCAGGGCTGGGAAGCAGTCCACATCAAACTCTTACAGCGCGACCCTTTTAGCACGCACAGTAACTCGGGGCATCGCCAGCTGAAGCTCATTAAAGCTGTCTCTTTGGTGCGAGGGCCATTAACCTCACTGCTCAAAACCCACGCCTCCCCTTCCCCGCCTCTCCCAGCCCAATTAATGCCCTATATCCTCCCTCCCTTCCAAGCACCCTCACCCACACCTCAGAGCCAGCCTGGAGGTGGCAGGGCAGCCCTCTTCATTCAAAGACTACAAAGACCAAGTGTCAAGAAGCCCAGTATCCTAGGGAGCCCCTGGTGCTGGCAACAGAGGAGGGAGCCCCTTTAGCCCCACAGTGTGCCCAGCACTGCATGAACACTTTCCCAGGGGACTCACTGAGCCTTCCCAACAACCCAGAGAGGCAGGTGGCACTGTCACAGGGTTCTGGGTGGAAGAACCAGAACTACTTCTAGCTCCAAAGCCCTTACCTCCATTGTCACTCAGAGCCTTGGGCTGCCCCATGGGGCCCATCCAGATAAAGAAACCACCTTCTCTGAAAAAGCAGGGGATACCTCAGAGGTCCTAACCTAGGGTCAACAGGTGAACAGACAACAGGGGCATTGCTGAGTCTCAAGAAGCACAGAGCGGGAACAAGGAACCCCTTCTTCTCAAACACACACCCTGGGACAGATGATAGAAGGGGCACCCAGATAAAGTGTATGTGGGGTGCATTAACCCTGGCTGTCCCTAGCCCCCAGCCAGTTCTTCCTTCCGTGGACCAATGCAAGTCTTCTCACTGGTCCTCTTTGGTTCCTCCCTTTCCCATCACTTTTTCATTGATTCATTTACTCACCTACTCATTCATTCAACCACCCACAAGCATTTATTGAGCACCTACTAAGAACTAGTTTTGTGCAACACAAACTGCCTCATTGATTCTGAACCAGAGCTTTGATCACATCATTCTCTCACTCACAAACTTCCTATGTCTCCTCAAAACTGCAGGAAAAGTCCACACCCTTTAACCAGGCATTCAAGGCCCTGCTTATGTCTCTGATTATTTTCTAGCTGTTTCCTAACCCAAATTTGCCACTTCAGTCATGGGAAGCTTCTTGTAGGTGTCTGAACTTGTCCTCAGCACACTGGGTTTCTCATGCCCACAGGCCTTTCTACTAAGTCCTCCTATCTAAAATACCCTCCCCCCATTTTTCTGACTACCAAACTCCTATTCATCCTTCAAAGATTCCAATTCAAGTGTCCTCTTCTATAGGAAACTTCCTGCTGACCTCCCAGGCATATTACCCTGCTGGGTTTGGCATCTTCTCTAGATTGTTTGGAAAATATCTATGAGAGGGAACATCAGTTATGGTGGAGTACCCCCAGTTCCCCAGGCCTGTTGGTCACTTCCTCTTAGCCTGGACCCTGGGAAACCCTTGAGATGTCCCAACAAGAACATGGGGGCATCCCTCCTGGGGTGAGATGCCCCCAATATCACTACCTCTTAGTGAGAGGTAACTGAAGAAGTAGAAGCTACTTGGCAACTAAGGAGAGGGAAAACCACCTTTGGGGCAACCCATGTATTTTCTATCACGGCCCTTAGTACCCTGGGTGGCAAGCACCTACTTCAGGCAAGTCCCTGTCTCTTCCCAGGATGTGAGCTCACTGAGAACAGAAACTTGTACTCAGTGTGCCCAGCATCCACAAGGCACCAGTGAATGTCTGGAATGGATAAATGGTCTACTTTGAAGGAGGTGACTGGGTCCTTCGGACCTGGTATTCTCTCTCCAGTTCCCCCAACAATGATGCGACCCCAAAGGCTCACAGGTTGTGGTAATGTCAGAACACTGCCCAGAGATACTCTGGCTCTTCCCCACTTGGAATAAGGCCTATGCCTGGTCAGGTGCCCCACCTGAGAGCATGTGCATGCACACATGTGCATATGCAAACAAAATAAGATACACAGAACTGAACAGACACACTTGACAGATACACACAGAGACTGGTAGCTGCTTCCACACAGACTCATGCCCTCAGAAAAATACAGATATACTGTTAACACGCCCCCCAACAGACATGTATAATCATGGACACATTATACTCTCAGTCTGACACAGAGACATACAGCTAAAGGTGGTCACACATATGCAGACACACAGATACAGACAGATATGTATTCATACTGATAGATCAGAAACTAAAAGAGCCTCCAACTGCCTGGAATCGTAGCCACTCCAGTTCCCTTCCAAACAAGAATCCCCCTGAGGGTATACCCCCATTTGGTACCCCAAGTGGCCCGCCTCAACCCAGGCACCGCTCAATGGAGGCTGCTGCTCCTGCAGGGGAGTCAATACCCTGTGGACGGAGTCATCGGTCAGAAGGACCCCGACTAATTAAAAGCTGGTGAGGTTTAAATAATTCATCTCCTTAACTCCCATTGATCGTCCAGTTTAGTGGCCACAGACTTGAAACAATATTAAACAGCCTCCTCCAGCTCCACGGGGGGTGGGTAAGCTGACATGTCCCCACCCGCTGAGGACATTGCCCACTAAAGATGCAGCCAGTGAAGGGGGACCTTGGCCTGAGTCCAAGGCCACCTGTGACTCACCAAAAGCCCAGACCCAGCCTCCTCCAAAATACCACTTTGAGTGGTGCCTTCCAGTGGTCCCATTCAGTAATTTTCTCATTCCACCCGCCTTCCGCCGTTCCCCCAGCTATGTAGAGAGCCCTGTTGGGGCACTGAATGAGCCATGGAAACTCTCTGTGTGCCTGGGGACTGGGGCATGCGGGCAAGGGACGATGGATGGAGCTGCCAGGGGAATATGCGAAGGGACTGACCAATGCCGCTGTGGGGCCGGCCTATGTGTTGCAGGCTGAGGCCCTTGTTCATGTCTAGAAGTCCATTCTTGGGCCAGCAGCCCATGGCGAAGCTGTAAGCCTGGAAGACAGGAGGCAAGTGGTTAACGGAGGCCCTGACCCTCTGAACCAACCCCACTCACAAGGTCTTCCCCCCGACCCCCCAAATCTTTCCAACAAGGAATCCCTCTCACAATGCCATCTCGTGAGAATCCCTTCTCCACCCAGGTCCTCCCGCAACCCAGCAGAAAGTCCCTTCCTTCTCCAGAGTGCCCTTTCTCCTGGGCTTCTCCCCATCTGAGTCCCTGGCCCTCAACGGGTGCCCCTCACCAGAACTCCTCTCTAAGGAGTTCCCATTCACTAGGCTCCTCCTTCTCAGGAGCCCTCCTCTCACAAGGGCACACCTGTACCATGCACACCTCCTTAGGATCTCCCCTTTCCAGATCCCCCAGCACTTTGCTGGGCCCCCTCCTCACAGTACTACTGTTCACAAAGACTGGCCTCAGGCAGGACCTTGGAAACCAGCACATCCAAACTGCACTCCACAGACAGAAATGTTGAAGTGAGAGCTGGCTAGCAAGGTGCCATGGTCAAGGTGCTTTTGCCCACAAGCAGGCCAGGCTATGGAAGGCTCTGGGAGTTTTGTGGGGGCTCAACTGAGCAGAGGAGTAAGGTCACTTGGTCAATTCAAGCAGCTGGGAGGGGAGTACATGGGGCGTGTGTGTGTGTGTGTGTCTGTGTGTGTGTGTGAGTGTGTATGTGTGTGTGTGTGGTGGGGGGAGCAGATGCTCTGCTGAAGGTCAAGTGCTCACTTATGCATATTCAAAGCGGCCACCCATCGATCTGTACTTAATTGTTTTCCTGGGGTTGGGGAAGGAAGTGCTGGGGGCATCGATCTGCTCAGGCCCCAGCACTCCACTGCCTCCCCCTCCATCCCCTTCCCTCACCACCTGGCTGCCAGCAACCTCCACCTGGGGGGGCGGCACATGGCAGGGCAGGGGCAGCGCCTTCCCTTACAGTCCCTTTTAGCCATGACTGACCTGACGCCACAGATGAGGAAACTGAGGCCCAGAAAGAAGAGACTTAACATAGGTTAGATCACTATGAAGTAGCCGAATAGGATGTAATTCCTGCTCAGCCTGTTAACCAAATCCTGGGCTTCTCCTGGTGGGCCTGGTAGCTAGTCAGGCTTTCAAACATTACCCACACCTCACTTTAGAAGTCCGCAAACACCAGGCCGCCCTTCTACCAGTGGCAGGACAGCATACAGGGCGGTGGTCAGAATAAAGCTTGGGTGAGTTTCCAGAAGTTGGATGGGGGTCCAGTGACGGAACCAAAGTGACTGCCAGCTGTGAGCAGATGAGCACTGCAGTGGTCCAGCCCTTTGCTAGTCCCAGGAGGTCGCCATCCCACTAACACACAGGGGAGAGCACCCAGCACAGGGTCAGAAACACAAAATGGGAGGCTGCAAACAGTGCCTGTGCCAGGGCCCAGGGCCCAGATTCTGTGTCCACCCTTCCTTTCCAGCTGCAGGAACCAACACTCCAGCCCCATGGGTACTAGGAGGCTAGGAGAGTGTACTTAAACCTTAGCACCCTCTAAAGCCATTCTCCTTGACCACAGAAGTACCAGCCACAGCCCAACTTCCCAGCCAGCCTTCCCCCACCCTTTCCCAGGCCACAGCTGAACCCACAAATCAGGGGCTGAGTGTGAGGCTCAAGGGCAGGGAAGAAGATGCTGGCCCAGAGCCAGGGCAGAGCCGGGATGGAGGCAGTGAGGGAAGCAGCCAGTGGGCGGTGCACAGTCAGAGAAGCCACTGAGCCTGGTCAGGGCTGAGGCTGGAGCGCAGTGGGCCAGAGAGCAGTGGCGGCCGCTTTTCAAGTACTTTAAAATCACTTACAAAGGCCGGATTAAACGATCAGAAATTCCATTTAATAGGACAAATAAAGAAATAACAATCTACTCTATCAGCCTGGAGAAGGCGAGCTGGATGGGTTTTTTTTCCCCCTCTAAAAAGGAAAACGGGAAGGAAGGGGGAAAAAAGAAGGATAATGTGTGTTTACTCAAGCAAAGAAAAAAATATTTAAGTGATGTCGGGGAGAAGATTGCAGTAACTAGTGAAGAATAACATCGTCTACTTTGCTGTCAAATCACACCCGAATTTCAGTAATAGATTCTCAGCTGACACTCAATTCAATTCGAAGGTGATCCTGCTTTATCCCAGCCCATCAAATATTAAACACTTGCATTAGCAGGTGCTGCCGCTTCCCGGCTTAAAGCGACGGGCGGGCGGCAGGGCTGCCGGGGCCCCTCCGCTCTGCTTATGGCTCGGGGACAGGGCAGCTCAACGTTATCTGCACGTCATCCTGAGTCTTATCGCAGTTAAGTGGGAAGACCACTTCAGATAACATTAGATGCTTGCCCCGCCGCGTCACCGTGATTAGATTATTATTGTAATTATGACTCCCCAAGATCTTCCACAGACTGGGATGTGTGGAAGGGGGACGGAGAACAGCAGAGCCCAGGAGGGCCAGGCTGGACCAGGGAAAGCTGGGCCCCCGGCAGGAAAGCAGAGGTGCCAGGCAAGGCGGCAACCCGGTCCCGCCTGACGGATGCCTTTCAGGAAGGGCAGTCTGGCTTGTCAGAGCGAGGGCGAGATGAATTGGCGTCTCCACTGTGGCCACGGGTGTCATGCCGCACAGTTTCATATTCCCAGATAAGGCGTGATAACCAATTGCTGCTGTGACATGGCCTCATCCAGCACTTCCTCAGGGGGGCGTGGGGCGGGGGAGGGGGCGGCGCATGCACATGGGTCTGCCAAGCTCCTAATAAGAGGGATTTAATTTTTACAAATGCTGCTTCCAGCGGGGCCTTCACATACCAGCCAAAGTCCAAAAACGATATTAAAAACGGTTAATTAAAACTGCTCTCCCTCAGCCTGGGCTCTCCCGCTGTTGGCCCTGCTGAGAGCCCTGGCACGTCTTCCCCAGGTACTGACACGTGCACCTGCAGAGCCTAACCTTCTGATGTGACCGCCAGCCTCATGGGGCCGCCCTAGGCATAATACCAGGGCCCAGCACCTCATGCTCCCCCCAGCTCCTGCCATCTTGGGTACTGCTTAGGCACAGCCAACAGATGCAGATAGCTACCCACAAAACATCGGTGGTCCCACAGCAACCTGTGCTCCTGCCAACATATGGTCTGGATCCTCACACCTGCTGCTCCTCTGCACCTAGACTCATCCGTGCCCACCACTCACTTTTAAAGCCCACGCCTCTCCCCACCAGATATGCAGGCCATGGAGTGGCCCAAGCGCATATATGCTGGCACGCCACACATGCATCGGACTTGCCCTCGGGTGACTCTGCCACCCTTCCATGACTTGCTCCCTCCATTCGCCCTCCTTAAGAGATTGTATCTGTCTACAAATCTCAGCAGAGACCTTTCTGGGAGTCCTGATCAGGGTGAGGTGTCATGGGCTATGTGTCAGAGATTCCGGCTGAGGAGCCAAGGCCAGCCAAGGCTGGCCCCACCACAGCAGGAGGATCAGCAAGACTGAGCCCTGTGGATTGCCCACAGGGGACAATGAAGACAAGCACACCCCGGTGAGATTGGAGGAGGCTAGGAAAGCTTCCTGGAGGGAGTGGTGCTGGCAGGCTGGGAGGGTTTGACAGGTGGCAGGGGACTATAACATTCCAGACAGAAGGCACAGCAAGGACAAAGGAAAATGGCATGAGCAAGCACAATAAAGGCTTGGGTGTGGCTGGGACAGCCAAGTTAGAGAGGGGAGCGACATCTTAAGGCACTGCCTCTCAATTCTGTGTACCTGGCAGCAACATGGCATCAAGGGGCCTTGTGTCCATCCCTTTACTCCTGCCTGCTCCCTCTCACTGCTCCCTTCCCTCTCCTGCCAGCTTGGGGGAGTGGGGGTATGGGGCCCAGAAGCTTTCTGACCTTCATCAGTGTGGGGCAGGAATCTGATTTAAGAGCTCTCTCCAAGAACTTGTGCCCAAGCCTGTTTCCCAAAGCTGCTTCCAAATCCTCTGGGTGCCACTTCTTTGGCTGCAACTCTCTCAGCCATCAGGGTCCACCTGCCCAGCTATGCACAGTCAGCACCTAGCCCCTGGGGTTCCCAGCCAGAGGGTGGGGCAGGTAGGAGGACGACTGAGGAGCTCCTGAGTCCTGTCCAGGCCAGGTACTGATACGAGCCACAGGGACAGGTGGAACTGGCTGGGGTGAAAGATGCTAGGCCTACCAAGTCAACCCACCCCAGCCCTGTGCCAGGCAGGCACGCACGCTTCCCTTCCCCTGGGCTGCTGCAATTTCCATGCGCAGGGAAGCAGGTGCCGAGCTGTTCCCGGCTGGCTCTCCTCTCTCGTGGCTCTGCCCGCCTTGGCTGCTGCCCCATTAGCTTAGTGGCCAGCCATCTGCGACGGGCCTGCCGCATAGCCCTGCTGTAGGCGCGGCGGGTGGCCCCCTGTGTAACAGGGAGCTTTGCCATTAGCGCCTTTAATATTCTGACACCTCAGCACAGCCTGCTATTACATGCAAACGCTGATCGCCCTGTGAAATTACATTGCTAGGCCCGCGCGAAATGGAATCGTGTATAATCAGCCTCCTCCATGCACTGTCAGTCCCATCACAAACACGGCGCCCGGCGGCTTACGGGGGCTTAGCAGCTGCGACAAGTGTATTGGGTTTAATAGATGAAGTAGCCCTCATCGGCTGCAGCATCAGCTCCTTCAAAGAGGAAAGAAGAGGCCTCAGCAGCTGCTATGGTGTCTCTGCCCACCCATATACTACCTATCAGGACCCTGAGAGCAGGGTGGACACACAGTGGGAAGGGCTGTGGTTGGGCTAAAGGGCTAGAACCCAGTTCAGGCTGCAGATAGAATAGGCTGCTCTGCAACTTCCAGAAAACCCAGAGTTTCGAAGCCTGTGCTAGCACATTCAGCCTATCCAGCCCACCTAGAGGTGAGGAGGAGCAGGCTTTTAACCATACCTCTGGAAGACTTGTCACCCTGCAGGCGATTGCTCAAGACTAGGAACCAAATCAAACCAACTGCCATTCCCCTAACCCCC